TCACAGATTGGGATGGAAGCTGAAAGGGAGAGCAGAAAGTAGGAAGACAGGAAGGGGAAGAGCAAAGCCCATGGAATTGTACTAAACACATTTCAAAACACGTGAGTACAAGCAGTTTATTAAATGGACTAAGTAGCAAACAAGAACCATATGTGACTTTAAAGAAATACATTTACTGACCCTTGCATGCGGTGCAGTAAAATGGAAGATCATTGTTCCTTCTTACTATATGAAGGTATACAATTTGTTATCTGGTCCCTTACAGCAGCTATACTGTGTGCATGGAAAATGACTAATTTTATAATCTTCAGGAAAATGCAGGGAAGGGGAGGTTGCGATCCAGCTATATTACATTTGATTTAGTTCTAATAATTAGCTATCACAAAAGCTTTAACGCAGCAGAAGTAGAAAAGGAACCCTTTCTCTTCTTACTCTGAGAATGTATTTCCATGTAGTCTTACACTGCTGAGTTTAATATTTTTGTTGACTGCAGCCCTTCTGCAAAACTTGTGCTGCTTTTTTATTAGCATTTATTTTTGCTTCTCCTTCTACTTCTTTCCAGCCAAGAAGTTAATAAGCAGTTCAGAAAGTTATTTTTAAAAATAATTCCAAAAAGCACCAGGTTTATCTCAAAATCACTACCAGCTCCTGCAATGCAAAAAAAAAAATCAGATTGTGTCATTAATACATCATAAGATTTCACTGTTTCCTGGAGATGCTCCCATAGGGAGGCTGGTTCAAAAATCCAGAGCAGAAGGGGAAATAGATAGTGAAAATTTCTCCAAAGAATTCTCTGCTGGTACTTCTGTGGTGATGATGGACAGAGATTGCAATGAGAGAGATACTGAACAGGGATCACAGAGAGGACTAAAAGGCTGATGTACACAATTAATGTATTCCTCATTCTCAAACTATTTCCACTCATCATTATCAACTTCTACTTTTCTCAGGAAAGAACTTCCATGCTTTCTATAAAATGGAAAGATGCTAATTATCCACTTCTGATTGTCAGTGAAGAGATTAAGGCTTTAACAGCAGAAAAATGAAATTTTTGTGTCTCAATCTGATCCTGAACTCTCTGGACTAGACTTCTTGCTCTCGTTGACCTATGCTCAGCAAAGTTATGTTGTTGGAGGACTCAAAAACAGTTTTAAGCCACCTTTACACTGATTCTACTTTTGCCTGGTGGAAGGTCAGAGCCAACCATAGGAGATGTTAGGACTGAAGTCACACTGGCCAAGGCTTTGCACTTTGTAACTAGCCATTCTTGCGGCCATGCATAACGCTGAGTTGTCAGACCCACTTATGGTGACCAGTCAAGCCCCAAGGACAACCCAGCACTAGGAGACCCCCCAGAGATTAGATCTATCATTTTCCTGAGGTGCTTCATGGTATCAGCCCAAGGATTTTGCCCTACATTTATTGTTATAGTACTTGATGCTGCACTCGGAATAACGAAACTCGTATGGATACACCTGATCTAGATTTAAACTACTTAATCCAGGTAATGACACCAGTGCAGCTGCAGCATCTACATGGGCTATCCATTACATAGGATACAGGTAGCATTAGCCATTAGTACCTGACGTATTTGATCATAAACTGGAGTGTATATGTTTGCACAAGATGGGACTGTATCTTTGAAAGCAATACAGACGTGCTCCTAACGCTCAACCAGGCTTTCCAGAACATGCTCATACATTTGAATGTCTTGCAAAATAGATCAAAGGAGTGACCTTACCTTTTCAGCATATAATTCTTTCTGTGCCAAATGCAAAGCTCCTTCAATGCTCACTTCTTTATTTTTCACCATATTCATAATTTTGAGGATTTTTTCCTGGCTTAACTGGAAAAAAAAGTCAATTAAATGTTTTTAGAGACTTTTTCTATCTGGCTATTGAGGATACAGAGTGCTTGTGACAGTTACAACGATGGTATCTGCCATAAAATTACAATTTCATTCATATTTTACGTTCTATCGACAACCTGCCCAGCAAATATAATCTTCCTTTGAAACCTGGTGAAAGTCCACAAGATATCAAATATACAGGGGCTTTTACAATTTTAGAAGATAGGGTGGTAATATCTGGAGATAGAACTGCCAGGAGGAAATCTTTTTTAGTTAGAAAATCTGGCAAGAAGTGAAAACATCAATTTTGCATGCTTGCCTGTGTCTTACCCTTAGTGTAAAGTACTGCATATAGACAACATGAAAGCAAGATCAGGACCATTCGAAATTTTCAGGGTGAAGGGGGGAAAAAATTGATGTTGGTACCAGCAGGTACAGCTGTCACGTGAACTTATCTAAACACATCAACAAGCCGGCATTACACTTCCCCTTTCTTTTACCAAAAAAAGGAGGTTGCACTGTCAGTAAGCTTACACACAAATTAATGTCGCTCTTAAGTGAACCAGGTGGGGATCGCAATGCCAAACAGGAATCAAGCAAAGAAAAAAAGGCAAGTGAAGTGACCAGGGACCCAGAACTACAGCCGCTTACACCATTGGTAAAGCTCTTTCACAGACTTTGTAGAAGGAATAAACCACCTCCCTTTGAGACAGACCAAAGAGTTCCCTTGTGTGATACCCATTCCTCAACAGTAGCAGAGTTGGGAATTTGGAAGGAGTGTGTAGGTTTTACACGAGAGTTCAGGAACTTGTGAGTTTTTCATCCAGTAGCTTAGCTACAGTATACAGTGTTTCCTACCCCCCGGAGAATGACCTCACCACCAGGAGATAAGTTACTACAATAAAATCTTTCTTTCAAATCTTTTGAAAGACTTTTAAAACTCTTCCACGTGGACATCCAGGTGAAGAGCCCGCCCCAGAAGTGTTGCCCAGGCTGTGCAGGAGCAAGGGGAAGCTGTCTCAAGGAACGGGAAGGGGGCCTCCCCTGCACCTCTATTGCCGGAGCTGCTGCGGGGACTAACGCGTTCAGAGCAAGGCAGCTCAAAGCATCTCAGCACTGCAAGCAATCCCGGATTTGGCTGCCTCAAGGACAAGGCACCAAGACCTGGAGTGGGTTTTGCTGTTCCTGCCATAGGAAAACAAAGGCGAAGAGCTAAAGACAGGCTAGAAAGCCAGGTCTGCTGCCCAGGAGGGCAAGGGTGGGTAGAAATCGGGGCTCCTGAGAGCTGCCAGTTCTGCCACCTGAGACTCGTGATTGCTACCCTCAGCAGCAGCCACCAAGCTGCTTCCCAGCAGCTCTGAGGCAGGCAGAGCAGGCAGCAGGGCTGCAGCTGCTTTGCCACCCCCAGCACCTTCCTGTCCTAACCAGCCGCTTGCTTTACCTACGCCTACAGCTCTCCACAAATAATAGCAGCTTCTCTGCTAAAAACCCCAGCAACACAGCCTTGCAGCTGAACGAGATCCTCTCCACCCATCCAAGCACCACAGTCACCTGGCACAAGTCTGATGGGCATCATAAAAATAACCAGTCACACCACAGAGGTCAGGGACCAGTAAATCCACGGGTTCTCTCTTTTTCTGAGCCACACTACACCAAAGGCACTTTAGCTTACCAAATTTCTAACATCTCAACCAGTTTCTGATCAACAGACACACTGTATGTTTTCACAACCTACAAATAAAACTGGGAGTAAAAGAAGAAGAAATATTTTGTTTTTAAATCCTTGGAATTTTCAATGCTAATATAAAGGTAACTTATGGCATAGCTCCCAGCTACAAATAGTAATGTGAACAGTGAGGGAAGAATGAAAGCGGTCTGATAATTCATTCACACTTGCTGAGGCACAGAAGGTTCCTACAGTGACCTCCACATTCTGTATTTGAATTTTAAATGGCCATATATTTACACCACACATACACTGTATACGATTAGATCTTAACAAGATAATTCCCCACTGAACAGGCTCCGTGTAAGCAAACAAGAATATGGATATATTTGAATTTAAAAATATAGTTTCCTTAAGGCTAAGCTCTGCCAGCGTTAAAGTGCAAGATCCTATTTATACAGAATAGCAATTCTTAATAGGAAACTGGATAGTATTTTTGCAATTGTTAGGCCCTTTTGTATGGAGAAGGGTTCAAAGATTTTGCTGCATGATGACAATGATAACATAAAGATAACATCATAACCTTATGTCAAAGGCACAGTCTGATTAACATAAACAAGAGAAGTATTTATTTCCTTTGCTTCACTACACAAGTAATTCAATGAACGAGCTCAGTTCTCATTTGACTCTCATAGTGCTGTCCAGCTACACAATATATCGTGCACATCTGCAGGGATGCTTCCTAAGTGGGGCCAAGAAAACAAGAGTTTCAACTTGAAAAATATGAGGCTTTGAATTTTTTTTTCTAGGATTTGGTCACCATCCCTGTTCTCATACAAGCAGGCTCCATACTCTGCAGTGCCCCAAGCAGCGGGTATTTTAAGGTCTGTCTTTCTGGCCAAATATTCTATCTAGAACCAAGAAACCTTGCCACAAAATCTCTACCAAACCCAAGACATTTTCTTGTAATTCACCATGTTTCTATTTTGCATTGCTGAAAATTTTCAAAAGGTTTTTTTTTTTTTTTACTTTTTTTTACAAAAAAATTGCAGAAGGGAATGCATTTTTGTCTCTGTGAAGTATTCAACTCTTCATTCTGCTTACCTTCACCAAAGTCTCCCTTAGACTAGAATGAAATTCTGCCCAAGACATGAAAAAACAACAGGGAACATCTCTTAATTTGCCTAATAATGTATGAAGAAAAATGTTTGCAAAAGAGAAGCAAATAATTTTGTATATTTCAAATTCAGGAAGGTTAGTTAAAGTGAGTTAGTCTGTTAGACTCCTGACAGTTAGTACATTCCCCAGAGAGCACACGAAAGACAGTGCTTGGTACAGGTTATTTTTAACAGCACCCTGTTTTTTTAATGTCTTGGTTAACTCTCTCTCTCTCTGCACATCTGTAAGCAGAAGGGAAACATTTCAAAAGACAAGAGAGAGGCAAAAAAGGCACTTTTCAGCTTATGAGAACTGTCAAAATTATTTGTCAGAAGTCTGTCTGGCTCGCTTAGGTTTTTGACAGCCACACGTTAGCATGGTATTTTTACTTGCAAACAAGACTTGAGTAACATGTCCTGACCTTTATCATTTTGTATCTGTGGGGCTTTTCTCTCAGCATGTCACAATTTTTGTAATGCTCATTCTTGTGTCTGTTTTGGTCATATTTTTTTCTTAAAAAGAAACAATTTTTGTCATATTATCCACTGAAATGCCACTAAGTCAGATCGTGTTAGATTGCCTAATAGAATGTGACTGGTGCAACCAAACAATGTTTTCATACAAGGTTGGATAACAAGACTTAGAAAAAAATTAAATGCGTCTATTATAAAGCATGCACATTAAGGAAATACATGAGATTGCATTAATAATGCATTCGTTCACCTGCTAGGTTAAAGAAGCTTGTTTAATACAGATTAAATTTTCATCACCCACCCAAAATTCAGTATAGCTACGTAAGTGATTTGAAAGAAAAATCAACGCTCACAATTGAAGGAAGAGCATGGGGCTCCAGGCATTCTCTGTATATCCATTACTCTGCAGGGTGAGGTTTTTATATTTTTGGCCTAGACATGGTATAAAATGCATTTAGTGGTGAGTTATGAGATTTCTGGCTTATTCTTGGACAGCTGCCAACGCAGTACTCTACGTGACCCCTTCCAGGGCTTCCTGCCACTCTCTGTTTACCCAGCACAGTCTCACAAGAGGCCCTAAGAGGTGTGGAAGTTTTGCATGTAGTCTCCACGCTGTGGAAATATTAGTCTAATGACTCCAGAAAGGTCTCCAGACCTTCTGAGCATCAACCAAGAAAGAGGGGTTAAAGCCACGTCATCCGAGTCATTTACAGTTGATTGAGCAAAGCAGCAGAATGCATGCCTAACATAGGTAACCATTCAAGGTTAAGACAGGCTAATGTCTTCCTGTGTCTCTTCTTTCTGACTCTCATCCTTTAATACACACTGGTTCACATTCCCCAATCGACCACAGGATCGCTGTGACTCCTGTGCAGTCAATGGAGATACCTGGGCTTCTCTAGGTGGCAATTCACCGCATGTAAGACCTGTCCCATTATCCAACAACTCTTTCTCTCCATTACTTACAGAGGAATTTGAGCTACATGGCTCTTGCTTAGCTTATTCTTATTCTGTGGACAATCCTACCCGAATCATAATAATATGACAGCAATGTAATGCAAAAAGACTCCTGGAATGTGTGCACGTACACCCATGGAGACTTAGAGCAAGAAATCTGGCTGTCAGTCAGCTATACATATGATCTCAATTATTACAAATACTGGCATGATTCAGTGAGACATTGTTTCAGGTTTATTTAGGCAAAGATCATAGCTAACATGCACCGAGCTCTATCATTTCCTGTGACAGTAAAACCAAGTCATGCGGAAATCCTGCTCCCCGTACAAATGAGGAGAAATTTTTATTCAAGTCTAGTCAAGCTTTTCGCTATTAAGCATTCCTTACACTTGTCCTTATTAAACATTAACAGTGTTAAACATTCTCATCTGCTTGCTGCAAGGAATAAGAGACAAACCAGCTCCTGGCTGCTGCGGGACCCAGAAGGGAAGGCTGGACCGAGAGGGCTTCTTCCTCATCCTCTGCACTCCACAGTAACATCTCCCTTTTAGCACCGCTAGGATCAATGCTCCAAGGGACAAGGGGACCCAATCCAAGAGGGGAGAGCCAAGTAGTGGCTACATATTGCTTTACAGACATCTCACAAATTTCTGGGCATAAATCTGACTGAATGCTATTGTTGTCCACACAAAAAGAAATGCTGTTTTAAC